ACCGTGTTCCCCTCACAGTTTGACTAATGTGTACCTCGCAGTATAGCTCCACTCTGTTTTGAACTCCTGCTCGCCTTTTTCGGTGTGTACAGAGGGAATCAACTTCCCACCCAGGGGAAAAGGTGGGAGGGGAAAAAAAAAAATACGGTTTCTCTCTGTACTCCAGCTCATCAGCCAATACAGGCGTCGTGCAGCAGCGTGCAAAACATCTTGCCCTGAGAGGATGGACTAGCGGGAGGACAATTATTATGACGCACTTCAGCCTCAGCCTGTTGGACAGTCCCGCTACACGAGGTGTCCTAGGAACGTGCAATAAAGCATCTTTGTTCAATAGCACCCGTGCAACTGCCATACGACCCTTTCTTTTCCCAAGGGTACCTTGGGTAATGGAAAAGGTTACAGTGACCCGCAGCGAGCTGCTTAGACTCCTTCGGACTAATATAAAGTACAAAAAGCACAGTAGTAATCACTTGCTGTCTTTGAACTTTCGTTTTCTGTCTGTCCGTAGAAAAGCCCTGTAACAAGCCATATTCTCCGACCCTCCGAGGTACCTGCACATTGTAATCCATAATCACAAGCCTCTAGGTTAGTTTCTAGTTTCTAGAGTTTTACTTGGTTCGAGCCTTTCTATCCGGTGCTGTACCAACTGGTTAGGTGCAGTATTTCTAGCTGTGTAACACTGCCCTTCAGCGTTATGTTCCACTCAAATTGGTAAGTTTGGCGAATGGAGCACCTCACAATAAAAACGAATGGATGACACTTCCCTGTCCACGCTCAGATGCCAGCAAATGCGAGGTAGTTATTGCTGACTCATAAATCCCAGGGAAGGATATATCTTCCCTGCTTTAACCAAATGGTAACCATCAGCACACTACCCAAGCGCTCAACCTCTAATTCCACCTTTGTAGCCAACCCTACTGGTGGATGTTCCATACAATTGGCTCAATACCTAAAGGTTGCTCCCAGGAATAACTGTTGTCCATTTGGCATACGTCCAGTTTACCGAATTGAAGAGGGCCCCTTATCACGATATACATGACACACCCTTGCTCCTGATAGTTATTGCCGTGTTGGAAACATCGCCATGCGGAGCAACGCCTATAATTAGAGTTGTCTCTCGCTATCACCTTGCCAACCAGCGCACTATCTCAACTATTTTGTAGAACTACCATCAATGTGGATATAAGCAATTCTGCAGAATCGCCCAATGAATGAGGGTTGCTCCCGGGTGGTGGACATCACTTCCCACACGACACCGCAGAAGATCAATGGCCATGCACCAATGACGCAGGACCGAGAAGTACCACGCTGACGCCTCCCTCGTACAGGGTGATAGAGTCGGTCGGACAGTCAGTACCGCCCAGTTCAAGTAGCTAGTGCTCTCGCCGCTCATTGCACATCATTCTTAGAGTTTGATAGAGCCCAGAGGGCTAGCAGTGTTGGACAGCTGCTGTTCCCAAGGGCACCTTGGGTAACGGCGAGATATCACTACTACTCTAATATGCGGTACACTGCTCTGTACCGGTGCCATCAGAGTGTCCTGTACTTAATTCGCACCGAAACAGCCTTGCCTTGCCCCATATGCCAGATGGCGGAATGCAGCTAGAAGTATCTTTGGCCAGCAAGTCCTGGCGCTTGTGTCCTGGACGAAGTTTAACCTGAGCATCAGGCATTGATTTACGATGGCTTGCATCCAGGCGCGCCAAGTAAGCAGCTCAAAAATTGCTTTTTACCGCATGGTCTCAATGTTCTTACCAAGTCTCGGGCATACCCAGTTGGATTTTTCTTGATTGCGGGCCCCTTGCAAATACTGAGCTACCAAATAATTACTCAATAATATTTCAGAAGTTGATGAACATTCAGACAAGCTGAAAACAGCTGCTGCAATGACTGGTGCTCCCTGATTACTGGTGACATAGCTCCGGCCAGCATCTTGCCATTAATCTATCATTGCTTGTTTCCTTTTCTTTGGTTGCAAAGCTCAACAAATTGATTACAGAATAGTTTATCTCCTTGTAACCTTGAGGGACTATGCAGGACCCCAGTTACTGGACAATGATAAGGACTAAAACTCTGCGTGAATGGAAAGTTCACTCCTTTAGAGCAGCCCGTTGTGCATTCAGTAGGCAGCACACTCAGAGGATTGCTGGTTTCGGCCAAGGCCCATGGACTAAGGGAACAGTCTACTGGTTACGTGAGGGGCACCTTCATGGAAGTACGTCCCCAAATCCAAAACACAGAGAAGCACTAACTCCATGAGCTTCCACAATCAGGGAATGGTAACCATTGGCTTCTGTCTACAGTTAAATGTTTCCAATGCCAGCCATCATCCCCCTTGCCTCAATATATCCAACTTGACCAGTGGATGTAGCTGAATAGGACCGCCCATTATGCTTAGCAACCGTCCGCCATTGTAAAGTACTCATGCCCTATCAGTGTACCCTTATCCCGGGTTCTGAGCCAAAGGGGTGTCTATCTAGTCTCTGACTGCCCTTAAGTAACTCTCTGGGTGATGGCACGACACCAAATACCATCACAATATAGGAACGGCTTAAACATTTTACCCATTACTACCTCAGCCCAATTTAGGTCCCCCAAGTATGCAGGACGATGGGAACAGCCGAATAACCACTAGGGCCCCAAAGAATATTATTGGCAGGTTGCAGTAGGAGGTGCTCCAAGTGTATATTACTTGTGTATTTTTGTCATTGCGTCCGTGAATTTTGGCTAGAGCTTACCCGCCTCTGTGTTTCCTGTCCACTACCCTGTTTGCTGCAGGACGTCCATAGTGTTGTACAGCATTTCGGACCTTATCCATGCACAGGGCAGCACGGAGCGCAACTGCTGACCATGTTCGTGCCTTACTCCAGCAGCTCCTTTTTGTCCATCGTGTCAAACTTTTGGCCATGCGATTGCAGTACCAGTTGGAGGAAACCATGGATGACCTGGACGACATAGGGTTTGACGAGCAAGTACTAAGCGGAGTATTACGAACCGCCCACCTTGAGATCAGTGGATTTATCGGCCGTTGTGACCGAACGATGCTCACGACGGAACAGCGCATCCTGCGTATACTACTGCGATGAACTGCTGAGCAGCAATGTACAGATAGAAGTTTTTAAATTGGCTGCGCTGAATGCCCACCTGCCGCCAAGAAACAGTCAAGCAGTCAGCAATCCATACTCCCTCGAAATCGCCATGGAACCCCTCCAACAAGTGAGTCGTCACATGTAGGCATACCCCCATTCTAAAGGGATAGAGCTGATTGGAACTGCTTCATGCACTCACAACCATCTAAGTAAGTAGTCCCTTATGCCCTCACCCCCCACTGTGCCCCCCACATCCTGCATAGTAGGAACACGACACATGTGTCTACCATCCCCCTACTGTTCCCAAGGGCACCTTGGGTAATGGTGGGGGTTCAGCTCTGTTTTCACTCTACATGTTAATCATCTCACATGGTTCGCACGCTCGTGATTATCACCCTGGTTCAAACATCCTGACGGTCATATGTCCTCTCAACGATGCGTCCTCCTTGCTAACAATGCTCCTCAGGGCCTACCGTCTCTAGCATATCTTGCACCGATAGCCACCCACCTGTGTCATGCTTTGCTGCCCATGCCACGTGCTCCGCTCCTTGCTACTCCCCTCTGTGTCTTATGCCTTTTCAACTGAACAACAATGCACCCCACTCCAACCCTGACACCGGCAACATGTTGCACACACTTCCCACCACAGCAATGGTTGTCTTTTTGTTTAACTTACGCTTGAACCGAACATGACTCACTGTCTCCGTCAGTAGCCTGGGCTCAAACTGCGAGGACACCGCACCTGCATAAGCCAGAGTTGCCTGGGTCCTCCTCGTCTCCAGTTTTATTTCATTTGCTCGCCCGTTCATACATTCAAGCCAACACGGGGTTCTCGTTGTTTGGCCGCTGCCCGCAATAGTGAGTGGTTCCTGTCGTTTGGTCCAACCATACGCCACGCAAAAGCCTCCACTCCGGAGAGTGCTGCCACTGCAGGGTACCTGTTGCTGGTATGCCGAAGCCAAATCCCTTTCCGTCTGGCGCAATCAGTGTTTCCGATCAACACTTACTGGACATATCAGCTGGAATGGATTGGGACATGGAAGATGCCAACAACGTTCGATTCCTCGCAGTGAGGGGCACCATATGGGTAGGAGATTGTCAAACAACATATAATTTATTTCCAAATGGAACGCTTGTTCCAGTTTTTGTCAATTAAAATTCGACGCGCTTAGATTCTTCAATTTAATAAAAATGAAAATGATCGAAAACACGCAGCTCACTGTCGGACTTGATTTAAAATTTCTTTTTCCGCATTGGGGTAATATTCACGAGTAAGACACCCGCTAGCCAGGCTTAGGGCTAGGCAAGGTAAAACCCCGCTAAGAGGGGAGGGAAGAAAAAAGGAGACAGAGAAAAACCCACTCGACAGAGGGGAAGAAAACACGCACCTTCGACAGAAGGGGTGAAGACACAGGGTGGAGAGGGAGGGTAAACGCGGTCCATTGGACCAAAACTGGAAGGAACCCACCGCCCACCGCTTGAGGTGTAAAATGAGGAATGAGATGAAATGAAAACTGAACACTTCTGAGAAACAACCAAACAGACAGTTTGGAAAAACGAAACTGACAAAAAAAAACTGTAACACGCTTTCACCAAAAAGTTCCAGTTGAAATTGGCAACTTTTGGTTTTTCCATTTTTGAAATAAGGTGCTTATCACTTCGTGAGTAAACACTTATTTCCAAATGGAACGCTTGTTCCAGTTTTTGTCAATTAAAATTCGACGCGCTTAGATTCTTCAATTTAATAAAAATGAAAATGATCGAAAACACGCAGCTCACTGTCAGACTTGATTTGAAATTTCTTTTTCCGCATTGGGGTAATATTCACGAGTAAGACACCCGCTAGCCACCCCACATCAAAGTGTCTGCTCCTTCCTTTCGATTAGAAGCAAGACATGATCCCAGCTTGGCTTAACCAAAGCGGAACCAACGTCCAACAGTTGCTGGATTTCGAACGACTGGGTTTGTCAGCAGGGTTTGAATACGAAGGCACTCTTCCAAACCAAACCTTGCGGCTTCGTTGTCTACGTAAAACACCACGTAGGACTTAGCGATGGCCGGGGCCCATACATGTGCAGCAACCCGCGCTGCCAGAAGTTCAACCTCGAAAATAGGGTGGCCGGCACGCTGGAGGAACAGGTCCAAAATCAGCTGTGGGACCCGCTCGCTGAAGAAGGCTTTGGCCTCGCCATTGATGTTGTATAAGATGCCCCCGACTGAGGCCACGATTTGCAACCCATCTGCCGTGGATTCAACCGCACCATCGGTGAAAATGTAGTAGGTTTTTCCGGCTGACTTGGTCAGCTCCACTGGTTTTGAAACGGAAACATGCTCTTTGGGAAACTGCAAGGCTAGATGGAGCTGCGGGTCCAAGCTACCATCCAAAAAACAAGAGGTGGCTCCCCTGCTGATCACACTCATAGAATAGTTCGCAAACCTCCCAAACAGAAAGGTGCCATACCACTGCAGACGACCTCCGAGCTTTTCCGCATCCTTTGGTTTCAAACAATTTTGGTCAAGGTGTGATGCTATCCGGTCCAGCAGCTCTTGTTTACGGCTGTCGGTATGTCCGATTCGAATTTTTCCAGCTGAGAAATTAGTCAAGTCAATGAGTAAACCCAATGCCTTGAAGGTTTCCTCGAAGGCACCTGCTTTGTCTCCATCTCGGGCGAAATCAATGCCTAAGAGATACAACAACAAGTGCACCTGAGTCTTGCATTGGGCCGCCATCGAGGTGGTGGTCCAGGTAGGGAAATCGCCGAATAAACTCGACCACCAAAATCCCAGGCATACCTGTCCAATGCAGGCGAAGGCCGCCGATATGCGAAGGAAGCCAGCTGCGCTTCCCGAAGCTCCGAAGGGGAGCGCGCTGATCTTGTACACTTTGGCCACGCCTTGTTCTACATCCTTCACACAAATGCGGACTCTTTCACGGTCCGTGGGGTGGATTGCATATTGCTGGTAGGCCGCCACCAAAGCAATAATAGTGCCACCCAAAGTTCCGCCCTCAGGCAACCCCACTGATAACGCTCGGACCAAAGTGGCCGCAATGGCGTCCATGGAGTACAGCACGTATTTTTCTTGGAGGCCTGTTGAACCATTGACTCCACATTGCTTGAAGTCATCGATGACTCGTACCTTAGATTTCTGCATCAGGCCAAAACGCCTGACAACCACAAGCATGTCCAGGTCTGGATTTTCGTCCTCGACCAACCACCCTTTCTCTATTTCTTTGATTGTGCCTTCCCAGACGCCAACTGATGCGTCAATAGCTTCTTCAAAGTTAACTGATTCGAAAATGCTCCTGCTGAGGCCCTTCAAAAAACGCAGGAGCGCATCCACTGAGTACTGGGGTGGCTTCGATCTATGAGGAAAAAGTATTGAGTCACGCAACCAGCCTATGATGCGGAAAACCGCACAAATATCCTTGACCAGGTGTCGATCAGGAAAACCAATGTCATTCAGGATCTCCTCAAGCGCCAGAAGCCTCTTGCCCTTGAGGACCCTTGCTACTTCTGGGTCCAAAGAGTCGTGCAAGTCTTTCTCCTTGCTGGCCAACTCACTTGCTCTTTTGAGCCATTTCCGAATAGAGGTGTTCTCCAGCACGAAAGAGTCACGTGCTGACCAATCTTCTGCAAACAAGTTCCTTGGTGGCCTGCAGCTGCTGCACGAGCTACGAAATCTTCAGGTTCCCTTGGCATCCCTATTGAACGAATCTCACCCACTTTTTGAAGTGCCTTGGAATTGCCAGCGAAACCATTTACGCAAATGCAGTTTCTCTTCTGAGAGCTGCACTCATCCTTCAACACACTATCGCAAACCCGAAAGTCACCCCCATGCATGAGTTTGCGGTTCACTGTCCGCTTCTCTTTGGGGAAAGTTTTCAAAAGTTTGTCCAACTTTTCAGCAGGGGTTTGGTGAAAATGCATTGTTGCAGTGCTTGATCCACAAGGTTTGCCACTCGATCAAGGATTCTCAATTGAAACCAAAATACCGTGCAAAACACAAAATTTAACAATGACAGCGGTGGCGCAACATAGCGCCCTTGCTTTTTCCACTTTCAGCAAGTTGAGTTCAGTGAGCCCCGGTGATCCGTCAGGAAATTCTTTTGAACGAAGGGGCGCAGGCTGCATATCTTGAGGGCAACCTGGAACAGGAACTTCTCTGGCTGCTGAAGCTGTGCCGCAGGGCGGCGCCAAGTGAATATACACCAGCACATTGAGTTTAGCTTCCAAGAAGCCCAGAAAAAGTGTAAATCCTCATCTTTCGTGAGGTCCAAAAAGGTGATAAGTCTTGTGGACCTTTTGATGGTGTGGTCCACGGATGAAACTCGAAAACCCCGTTTGGCATAAGCTCGGCTTAACCGTGCTGTCCCTGCAAAAATCTCGCCAAATAGCAAATCATTCCACTCTGTGCCTTTTTCGAGGTTTGGAAAAGGCTCCGCACTTTGCTCTGCTGTTTCGCGCAAGCTCTAATTCTGAATTTGCTCATCACCTAGTCAGTTTCCTCCGCGTTGGCGGCACGACAGAAAGGTGTGTCCACCTTTCCTGCAGAATGCACAGATATGGATTCCTTTTGAACATCTCACAGGGTTTCCATAGGTCTTTGCTGAACATCCATCTTTCATGTTGAAGGCCCAACAAATTGGTTTGTTGTCACTCGTCTTTGAATGACCACCCTTCAACTCATCCGGCATTTTTACCTCCGTTGTTGCTCGAGCCCTTTTGCCCGGTCTAATTTTTGCTTTTGGTTTGCCAGCGTCTGGTTTGCCAGCGTTGGAGGCCTCCACCGAATGCGCCTTTGTAGGCAATGGCAGCAAGTGCATGGTCACCCTTGGGTCCGTCTTCAACCTTGTAATTTGGTCATCCAGCGGTCGGTTTCCTACACCATCGGGCTGGATGGATTCCACTTCCCTTGCTAGAATCGTAAACAACTCCTTGTCGGCTCGCAACAATTGAGGCATGGTCACCTTCGCAAATGAAGGCGGTGGCTCTGCAGAGTAAGCCTGGAACATGGCTGATACCCAACTCTCATGCTTGTCCCAAGAAATCAGAGCTGCTTGGTCAAATGCCAATCCACGTCTCTGAAAACACCACATAAGTTTCAATTCCGTTCCATGGTCAGCTTCAAAGGTCTCAGTGTCTGCGGCCATTTTCAGTGTCATGTTCTCAATCTTCAGCACTTGAGATTTTTCTTTCAAAGTCTGCTGTACCTCTTGTTCACGTTTTGTGCATTGTGAAGGGTGGATCCATAGAAGCGACCCTGTTTCCCTCATGCTGGCGCACTTGTCCACCAAAGCATAACTGGGTTCCATTTCGCCTGACAGAGCAATGCCAGTCAGTCTGGTCTGCTGATCCTTTGCCCTTGCCTGCTTTTCAGCTGGAGGCAGCTTTCGAATCCCATCGGTCAAATCGCCAGCCACATTGCTCTTCAAGGTCGCGAAAACTATTGTGCAAGCTTCGAAGTGCAACCTCCTCAACTGGGACAATTGGCCTAGTGTAGGTGGAACCCCAAAAACTCCTGCAGCAAAAGCTCCAAAGGCTGCATCATCTGGTTGGGACTGTGGCGTCCCACATGCAAAGGCCAAACCGCTGAACGTCTTCAAACCTGAATTGTCCAGTGTCTGAAAAAGAACTTCGTCACCGATCTCTATGACCCTCTTTTTGAAGGCCGCTTCAGAATCAAGTAATGACATGGCTTGCGAGGGTTCCTACTCCTACTACAACACAAATTCAAAATGCCTGACATGTGATAGTGAGGTTTTCGACAAGCATGGCTGTCAGTTTGAATTGACAACATTTTTGATGAGTCAGTGTGGGAAGAAGAGCCTTCACCCAACACGGCAAAAAACCACTGGAGAAACCACGTGGTAACTGCATGTACTGCCACTGGAAATGGCCCCGTTGCTTGAACCCAGTGTGGGACATAGAAATTACCCAACACGGACAGCTCACTGGTTGAACCACGTGGCTCAGCAACTGGATGAATAAAATTGCAACATACTGATTGCAAAGAACGGTTTGCGGAAACAGATTCATGCATACTCAAAAAATTGAATGACTTGCCAAAAAATCCGAAAATGAATGCCGCAGAAATTCTGAAAACTTTTATCCACTCCTGGCCAAACCTGCCGTTTGCTTCAGGCAGTTTGAACAAACTGAGGAGTCCCACCTGGTCTGAAAATCCCTGGTGTACGCATCGGTCACTTTGCGACCACATTCAAGGATTCTTTCACGGTGATCCTGAATTATGTGTAAAGTCTTTGACTTACTGTGCTGCAAAAAATGACAACCCTCAGGTGGCGTCGGAGGCATAAACAAACGAGGTGGTGCAGGCGGTTCACTTGACTGTTCACTTTCATCTGAGGGTGAATCAGTTGTCACATGTTCTGACTGGGCATCAGAAGTTTGGCGTTCAGACGCACTTGATGCCACTGATATGCATTCCCAGCCTGCCTCATCTGACTGCTGTTTCACCTGTTCAAGCTCACCTGACAGGTTGGCGGGCTGTGCACATGGAGAAAGGTTTACTGCGGCAACCAATGAACTGTCCTTCACAAGTCTGCCAGCTCTTGACTCATCTGGAAAAAACCTTTTATTCCTGATCTCGTCCAAAAGCTCTTCCATCATGCGCATGGGCCTAGCTTCTGCATCTCGTGCGTACACATCAGCCATGCGTCCCTGATGAGCATGGTGTCCTAACACCAAACGCTCTTCATGTGGGAGTCCACGCTTTGCTGCATAGCTAAGGATGGTACACTTGCATGAATGCGATGTGATCCTAACTTCATTCTGCGATGCAACCGGGTTCAACTGTAAAAGGAGTCTCAACCAAGAGCCGCACTCATCTGTTCCAAGAGGTCGCACTGTTGGTTTTCCCTCCACTGAAGGCGCGGGCATAGGGGGATGTACCTCCTGTATCCCTACTGATGCCCTGGCATCCATCCAACACCCGATCCAGTCAGAATCAACAACGCCATGCGCGGGTGCGCACAACTCCAAAAACCGAAAACGAAAAGCAGAAGCATGCATGGTTTTGTGAGTTGAAACTTTGCAGGATATGTACCTAATGTCATCACCAACTAATTCCAACTTGAGCTCCGAACCATGTTGAAAGTCCATCCAACGACTGCGTGAGTATACGCAGAATAACACTGCCCCTGCAAAAACTCGGTCCCAGACGTCGGCTGATTCCCGCACCAATCTGTGAAGCTCTGTCAATTGCACGACAGTTAATGGAGCAGCTTGGCAAGGTGAGTCTGACGGTAAACCTCTGGCAACTCCTAGACATCTCCTACTGCTCACACATTCTTGAAGCTTTGAAATGTCAAAAACAAATCTGCAAAAAGTGACGGCTTCGACAATGCCCTTGATGCGACTTGGTTTGCAACCAGCCCTTCGAAGGTCGCACAATGCCTGGTACAGTTGCAGTTCAGAACAGGGAAACTCATGAAGCTTGACATGTTGAAAAAGGATTCCCAAACTGTTGACTCGCTTGTACAACGTTGCAGGTGCTTATGTACCCATGTAGTCCCGAAGCAATGACAGACCATCTGCAATGGTTGAACACCCACGTAGTTCCTGTACGACCTTCTCCATGGGGTCCCAAGAAATGATGCATGTGAGCCAACGTTTCAACCCTGTCTGCAACTCAGAGTCCCTTTTGTCCATCCAAGTCTCTTCAGGATGTTTCACAACTGCACGTGAAAAATTTGATGTCAACACAGCTGGAGGTGACAGTTTAACCTTCTTTTGAACTGAGTGCTCCGCCACAGGTCCCGGCAAAATTGGACGATAGATGCTGCCCATGCTGAAGTCTTCCATGTAATCAAAATTCTGTTGAAAAATGGGTCTCCAAGCACGTGTCTCCCAAGGCAGCATCACAGGTTTTGACTCCAAGGCTTTAAAACAAGAATCCACGGCTCTTGCAAAGTCCAGATTGTCGAAAACATCTCGCCCAAAAGTTGTTGGAATAGAACCAGGTTTGGCAGTTTCAAGAAAAACAGCATCTCCAACTGGTAAATTGTCTGCGTCGAAACTGTGCCCTCCAAACAGCTCAAATGCCGTTTCTGCCACACTTGCAGAGTCCGAGGGCTCCGCCATAGCTCACCCCCCAGCTAAACGCGGTCCATTGGACCAAAACTGGAAGGAACCCACCGCCCACCGCTTGAGGTGTAAAATGAGGAATGAGATGAAATGAAAACTGAACACTTCTGAGAAACAACCAAACAGACAGTTTGGAAAAACGAAACTGACAAAAAAAAACTGTAACACGCTTTCACCAAAAAGTTCCAGTTGAAATTGGCAACTTTTGGTTTTTCCATTTTTGAAATAAGGTGCTTATCACTTCGTGAGTAAACACTTTACGCTGGTGGAATATCAATTGTATATCGACGAGGTACCATGGCTCATTTTTTCTACTCTTGCTGATGCCCTTGAGAAGGAGTTTGAACCCAACTTTTGGGGTACCGTCAACTACGGTCGGAAAGAGCGGTGGGGTTTCCTGGAACCACCCTGGGATGGAAAAGCCTACGGTGTTGCACCACCGTACACCAAAATTCGATTATCCATCTTTAATGATGTCGCTCATACCATGCGTGTCGTGCAACCATTTGTGTGGAACCATACCCACCTGAAAGTCCACCCGAACGGGGCAATGATCTTCCATGAAGAAAAAAGATTAGCTTTCCTGCTGCCTTTGATCGTGGAAGCCCACGAACTGCTACCGCCTAAGCCACTGTTCTGGGTTAATGATGACAATACCATCCCATTGTGGAGAACCACCCTGTGGTTGCATGATGAAACTATACAGTGGTTAGCTGAGACAGGAGAGTCGTACCCGCAGGAATTGAGAGATGAAATCCAGCCACGCATTGCTCAGCTCAAACCTTCTCAGCATGCGAAGCGTACACAACCTCCGCCCCCACCGCTACCAACCAGGTGGACGGAACGAACTGCAGCAAAACAGCCAGTACAAACACTGCAAGCAGCCACACCACCGGATCCTAAGAGTACTCAGAGCACGCCACAACAAGTAGCTGACCGTGAACGGCAATATATGGAATTGCAGTCTATTATTGCTCAAGCGAACCAACGGACGTTAGCAGACAGCCGGCCTGCGGATGTCAAGCAAACCCAAAAACCAGCCAATTTGCTGACCGCAAGTCAACAAAACACAGACAACGCGGCAACCGCCGCACCAACCAATCCCAGTACGGGCGTGGGGGCAGAAGCTTCGGCTCCATCACAAAGCAGTCCGCCAGCTAAAATCAGTGCACAATCGCTATTTAACCAAAGACCATGCCCACCATCGATCCTACCCGCGAACAAGCCGCAAACGGATACCCCGGGTACCGGCGTGTTATCCTCCGACCTCCACTCCGCAACTCACAGCAAAGATGACGAACAGCAGCAGCCTCCAGAGCAGCCCGCAGGTCACGACGACGCACCAACAGAAGAATCGTCGCCTGCAGATACACCCAATGCATCGCCAGAGACTCAGGCAACTGACACCGCTGGTGCTAGCAGCCCTGAGCCTGCCAGCGATTCCATGCAAGATGTTGACCTTACCGCAGCGGACATCCCGACTTTACAGAACATGGAGAAGGCAGCCTGTGAAAGAGTGGTCTTCCATCAAACGCGGCTCATCAGTGCTCGCGAGCATCTGACGCGTATCAGGAAGCGTCTTAAAAGAATGCAAGATGATCAATCATCAGGCACTCCGCAAGCCTCGCCTGCCACAGATATGGAAATGGAAATTATTGACTGATCCAACCTACAGCCAGCTAGCACAGCGTGCACCTGCCTGTCTGAAACTACCTGATCAGTGCCATTCCTAATGCCGCCTACCCTACAGATGCGCCAAGAGAAAAGCAGCTGCGTGCCAGGGTGATACCCCCTAAACCTACCTTATGGGAGAGTACCCACTCAAGCATGACCCCCACAAATCAGAGTAAGGGGATTTATGGGGACTTTTTTCTACCAAGCTGTTTTGGGTAGGCGTGTGCCCCGGGTCCTGTCACCGTCAGTCATCTCAATTCCTGTCAAACGCACATCTACTTTGGGTAAAGAAGGTTGCATGAATTGTCATTGTAAATTGTTTGCACTGCAGCTTTTGTGGCTCCACTAGTTTTTATAGCTTTTGTTCAGCCATCCGACACCAATTCGCATACCAAGGTGATAGTCAAACCTTGTTTGTTTTGTTCTCAGTTGTTTCACTTCCAACGACTGGCCCCGCAACGGGGAACCCCGACCCCGGGTGCCGGGTGTTCGGGTTTTCCCTAGTTTTGCCAATCCAGTTGACACATTTTGCACTCCCTGCCCTGAAAGTATCCACTATTTCCGGCTTGTCACTTGACACCTGACACCCGGGTACCGGTTGTTCAGGGTCAAGCTTGCGCCAGCATGTTACAGCAGCTTATGACACCGAACAGGTTCATTTCACTGGCGTCGCCTGACCCTGACGACTCAGATACAGATATCGAACCAACAGAACCAACCGTCCCAGACAAAACAGTCGAGGATGTGTCAGTGGACAGCGAAACAGAATACTTTGACGCCCTCGAGACAGATGATGACGTTCCATATTTCCAACAAGGGACTGAGCCTCCCCCAAAGGAGAAGTGGGAAATTGCCGCACCTATCGATTTCTTCGATGTAAATGGGGTCTCACAAATAAGCCACCAGCTCGATGAACTTTTCCTCTCGGAAAAAGAAGTTGCAACCCCACTCGGCATGGACGATTTCAAACAAAGGTGGAAATGGGCCAATGTCGGCTCTTGTCGAATGCCCCGGTCACCCCTGACATAGCAATCATGGTGGACGAAGGGAATGGAATCCGACGACCAGCAGCCAGCCAGGTCCATCATAGGAAACTCTTCCAGTGGATAATGGATAATCTCTCCTGGTTGCCACAGTATGCCACCGTGTATGTGTGCACTAATCGACTCCGACTGCGTGCCGACCTCACTGTATGAGATAGCCGAACTAGTCAACCTTATGACGGACAAGGCAAGCAGAGCCGAAGCAATGCAACACAACACAATGGCCAGCTCTAACCAGTGCCCACCGGCAGTGCTCCTTTGCACGGAAGCCAAAGCTGAACTCAATGCCGGCTTGATCATTGTGACAGGGCATACCCCGACCGATAAAGTTGATGTCAATATGGACCAAGCCACCCAGGAAGCATCCATGCCCCTGACTGCTGCCCAAGGCTCCGCTCCTAGTGATGCACCCGCCCCGAAAGCACGAAGAATCGCCCACCGCCAACCGCAGATCAGCAGATGATTGGGTCACTGCACTCCAAGATAGCCGAGTCAGTTTCCTAGCCACAACCACTGTGCCAGAAGACCCCGCTGAGGCGATGAGAGGCGGACTACTCCTCACCCCTCTACTAGGATGTAAAGCCAGAACTCCGCTTGACTGGACACATGCATGGGCAATGCTAGGCGAATGGGCTGGAGCTATTGCATTCCCCATCCCGGAGCAAGGAGAATGGCCGCGTCATGGAGATGGCCGATACCTAAGATGGGACTTTGTTGAGCGAACCCCGCCCTTCCTTACCTGGGCGCGCCCTCTATTCGAGCAAGGTGCACTCTCCCCAATGTCTGTTTTCCCGCCGACTTTCCCATCCTCTGTCTTCCAGGAGACAAGTTGTTCCAGAGCAAAGAGCTAGCCATAGGGTATAGCCTGC